ATAAAAAACTTGTTGAAAAACCTTGTTAAAAATCAAAGTATTCATGCAATTGGTAATTACTTTTACAAAATTTTGTTGTAAAAATGGCAAACAAATAAAACAAGGTTTTAATATCTTGTAAAAAATTCACAATTTTTTTTCACACAGGATAAAAAAATCTTCTCAATTTTTGCAAACATCTTTAAATATTTGCATTAATTTTTGCACCATGCAATTTTTATAATTTTTCTGGTATACTTGTTTAGAAAAATCTCGCAAATTAAGAAAAATTTCATTATATATGTTCGCATTTAAAAAAAAATTGTAACAAAAATTTCTTGCTCTGTTGAAAATTAAAATTTATGAATTTCTTTGTTCTAATTTTGATAATTAAAAACTTCTTGCAGGTAGCAAGAATATCAGAAAAACAATGTATTCACATAAAAAAAGCTTAAGAAGTCATCAATTATGGAAATTTTTTAGCAATATTTACCAAGTTTTTTTAAAAAAGTTTTTGCGTTTTTCTCATTTGCAAAAGAAATAAGAAGATAGATTTTTGCGTTTGTTTTCTAAAAAAACGCAGAAAAACTTGCATTTAACACAAAATTTTATCAACGTTTTTGCACACTTGTTAAAAAACCAAAACAATTTTTGCATCTTGTAAAACAAAATTAAATAAATTTTTGCAAACTTGTTGAAAAAATCAAATCAAATTATGCATCTTGTGAAAAAACTGAGCTAATATTTGCACTCGTGTTTAAAATTACAATTCGTTGAAAAAACTTTCGATTTCAAATAAAATCAGTTTTGACAAGATTTTGATAAACAAATAATCAATTATTAATAGAAAAATTGATACGCTCACTATTTACAGTACCATAACCATCAATGAAACAATCACCAATTTTCAACAAATCGGTCTCACACTTTGAGTTTTGAACTTTTCGAATCCTTTCCAAAAAAAGCTGATCCAAGAGTCTGAATGAACGCACGCTTCTGAGCAGAACTGAGATAATGTCTTTTGCATTTTTTTCGCAGCAGGCGTTTTTTTGCAACACTGGGTAATTTTTCCGGTATTCTACATTTCAAGTTGTGTTCGACTGCACGATTCAATTGATTGAAAACATCACCTCTTGATGAAATAATATAGGGAAAAAATCTATATTTGTATAAAATATATATACAGTCACTAATTTGGTAAGTGAAATGATTTTTATCTAATCTTTGCGAAATTTGATCGAGTGATGATCCGACTAATACTAAGTGAAACTTGCAATTTTCCGCTAGGCAGAATGATGAATGATTAGATGCACAGTAGTTTTGGGTTACAATGAATATTTCATAAAAGTTTTCTGAGACATAGATGAAAAGAGATTTTGCATTGTGAATAAAAAGTGGGATATGCTTGATGCATAGCAGATGCCATCACCGATTACTTGTTGAAAATGATTTTATCTAAATTGAATTGCTTATAATGTAGTTCCATCCCCTACGCAATGTCCATGTTTGGATCATCATCTACACATTATTCCATATAAGCTAATAATAAATTATTTGGAATGTACAGATTTGGAATACACAGAATTTTTGTGCGACCTTAGTTTCCAATTCAAGTAACCATACACGATTTTGTGTGACTTCAATTTTTGAGAAAAGAACCGAGCCGAACACAGTTTTGTGCGACCTCAAAAATGAATCAAGGGTCGAAATTTGCACAATTTTGTGCGAACTCAATTTCCAAAATAGGGAGCCCTTCTTAATTTTGTGTGACCTCAAGTCAAAAACGGGAAAAACCACCCCTATTCAAAACCAAGCCGACAACCCAGACGGCCGACTTCGCAGAAGGCCAAAAGTGTTTTTTTTGTGGATTTCTCGTGGACTTTCGGTCGAAATCCCGGTGAACTCCTTGCAAAATTTTGTAAGACCAAACCTGTGTTTTCAACTAAGTTTTAGACTAATTTGTGCTATTTTTTACCCAAAAAAGTGCTATTTTTTTGATGATCAGTGCTATAAAATCATATACGATGTTGTTGCTTGCAAACCGAGAAAGACCCTATTAGATACCCTCGTATATAACCAGTACCCGCGTACCTCAGGAGAACCTCGAATCCATAAATTTTGTGGCAAAAAAAGATTCCAAAAAAAATTCGGAAAAATTAAGAAAAAAAAGTTCCTCGAAAAAATAACAAATGTACCAATTTTCCAATATTTTTACTGAAAAAAATTTTTTTTCTACCACAATTTAGGGCATAGACGGAAAATGCCGTTTTCGTCTCACCCGTTCAACCGTTAAAATTGTCAATCGTGTGGGGCAAGTTTTTTGAGTGAATCACTGCCTCGGTTTCCTGCAGTGGGTGGATAAAAACTCAAAACTTGCTCGGCTCGCCCCATTTTTGGCCGCATACCGCCTTCACTGTTACTACTACCATTTCGCCGTAACTTCGTTAAGTTCAACCGATAAACCATACGCGTTAATTTGGATAGTATCGAACCCAAGCCTTAGTAGATCCTCAGAAATCCTCAGCTCAAGTTTCTCAAAGTTATATTCGTCATTTTCTTTCATCTAGATGTGAGGACTTTACATCAAGAGACTCCTTGAGTTGACCACCATTAAGACAATCGTATCATTCATCACTGTCAATCGTGTTCATCATCGCTGCCATTTCTCTTCATCAAAAAAAATTATACCAACCTTTCTCAAAATTTTCACTGACAAAAGTTTTTTTTGCTCAAGCTTAGGGCAAAGCTAGAAAACGGGCTCGCCCCGTTTTTGATCTCATACCGCCGTGATTGGTACTACTACCGTTTCGCCGTAACGTCGTTAGTTCTAACCAATCAAACGTACGCGTTAACTTAGATAGACCGAACTGAAGCCTGTGTACATCCTTAGAAACCCTCAGCTCAAGATTCCTAAAGTTATGTTCGTCCTAATTTACATCAAGAGACTCCTCAAGTTGACCGACATTAAGAAAACCGTACCGTTCAACATTTTCAATAGTGCTCATCATTGCTGCGAGTTCTCTCCATCTTTCCATATATACACTTTACACAAACGACTCGACCACACTGTAAAAGCAATTCCAGGTTTAAATTTTAGTTTTAATGCAAATAACTGACAAAAGACTGTTCAAAATCTTTTAGGCAATTTCGCAAAATGTATGATACAGAAGAACATTATAACTTGGCTTACTGTTAGAATTAATTCCTTGAGCAAGCATTGATCAAACAGCGATAACCCACTTACACCAGAAAACTTTATGGAAATTTTAAAATTACAAAAAGAAACAAAAAAGCCATTATTTACGTACAGCGTCAAATGACCCCCAATGCTTTGGGACAATGGGTTGAAACAGAAAGTTAAACCATTGGTTTAACCAAACATTTAAACTCAAAAAGAAAAGCTAACGACAAAGAATTAATTCAAAAACTTAAATTAATTCATTCTTCGACATTTTTAGAAATCAAAAACATAAAACTCGTTCATCGTTATTTCCCTTATCTGTCCGAAACTTTTCAAATAATTAAGTTGATTTGAATTTGTTTTTAGTCTTGGGATGTAAACGTTCAGTTTTTCATTCTAATTAGCCGAAAGGGTTCAAAACTTTTAAATTTGAACCTCCAACAAGACTGCTCGTATCAAGGCGAAGCTCTGAAAAATCCAAAATTTTTTTAAGGTCATTGGAGCAGTTATAACATGAAAAAAATAAATGTAATAAAAACTAAATGAATTTTTTTTAAATTGAGATTTTTTGGTAAAAATTATCCCCCAACAAGCCATATAAAGTACAAAGTTATAAATTTCGCTCCTAGTAACAAATAAATTATGGCAAATGAGCTTCGTTCAACCAATTTGGAAAAATTTCTAATTTGAATTATAACTCCGCTGACGCGTTAATAGCGCGAAATAAATAGCGCGTTAATTGTCCCAAATTGGCCAAAATAGCACTCTTTAAACCCCCATAACTTAACGGAGAATAATCACAAGTAAAATCTATTTTTGAATTCAAGCTCAAGACAACAATATCTTTTGATTGATTTTAAAAAATTGCCAAAAAATTGTTAGTTAAAAAGTCGAAATTTGTCTGAAGAAAAAAACCCACCCAGAGCACAAATATTCGGTTACTTTCGTTACCAAAGTCGGAACAATATTTTTAAGGAAAGAGAAACAAGACTGCTCGTATCAGGGCGAACCGCTGAATGTTTTGACTGCCTTCCAAGGTCTATTGAGCAGTAATAACAAGAAAAATTAAAAGTGCAAAATACAATGGAAATTTGATTTTTTTTGTGGAAACCATCCCCCACACGCCATATAACGTACAAATTGATAGATGTCGCTCCTAGTAACAAATCAATCGTGGCAAATAAGCTTCTTTCAATCAATTTGGAACGATTTCTAAAACGGACTTAGTCTCAGCTTACGCGTTAATAGCGCAGAATAAATCGCGCGTTATTGTCCCAAATTGGCCAAAATGGCGATCTTTAAACCCCCATACCTTAATGATTGTAGGTAAAATATCGTTTCAAATTTAAGCTCAGGACAACAATACCTTTTGATGGATATACAAAGACCGTCAAAAATGGGGCCATCGATACCCAGGCCACCAAAGCATCTTCTTGGTACCATTTTACGAAATTCTTTTTCGGCTGGCCGACCTTAAAACTTTACTGAGGCTTTACTGAAAACAATCATAATTTGTCCACATAATCAAGTGTGTATTTTATTGTTTTCGACTATTTTATACAAAAATCAAATTTATTTGTTGTGTTTTTGCCATTCCAGTTCTCACAAGTTCTCTATTGCAAAAAATAAGACATGAACTAAACGAGTCGTTAGAAATATACCATTTAAAATTTAGAAGTTATAATCGGTCAGTTCGAGCCTTTACATTAAACTATAATTTACATTACACATTACAATAAAGTTTAGATTCTCACTGACATAGAGAATCAACAAATGACGTGAAAACACGATGTTTGATGTAAATGTAAACGTTTGATGTAATTTACATTTACATCAAACATCGTGTTTTCACGTCATTTGTTGATTCTCTATATCAAATCAAACGTAAAAATTCTATACCTGTGATTCAGTATTTTGTCGTTCAAGAATCAGAATCTTAGATCAAAATCATCTGAATCAAATTGTTATAGTTTTTATCTCATCTGCAGACAAAAATTTACCAATAGGAAAGTTTCTGGTTGAACAGTTTTAAAAAATTAGCCCCTGCCGAGATATTTTCTTCAAACACAATAGTTTTCCATCTTGTAAGTGTAATTATTTAAAATAAACTATAAAATATCCATACGGTAAATTTATCGGTAAATTTTCCGAAGTTTTTTGAACCCAAACATCCCCCCCCACCCTCCACCCAACCCTGCCAGCTATATTGGTATCCGTTATAATAAGGCATATTCAGATTATCATTATGAGGCGGAACTGTGTATTTTGTGAATTGTGAGCGGATTCCCCAAAAGGTTGAAAACAGAGTTATCACGGAATCCGCAATATTGCTACTTTTTTTTCATCTGCTTTGCTGTTTCGGACTCGACAAACAATTACTTTAAACAATGTTTTGCTCAAAATTGCTCCAAAAACAAGCGAACTTGCGGAATCCGCAACATGACTTGCGCAAACTGTAACAGCTCGTGAAAACTAAAACCAAATCATAGTCCATGTTTATAAGAAAGTTTGCTGTCGGAGAAACCGCAACTGCGAGCGGAATCAATAAGTTGCAAGCGGAATCCACAAATTGTGAGCGAAATCCGCATACAATTTTGGTGAACCCACCCAAACTCGGGGAAACCGCTTTTAAGTTGCGGAATCTGCTTACATTTGCTGAATCCGGATCAAATAGCTAGATTCAATCGTTGCGGAATCCGCGACAAAATTAACGGCCGACAAAAATTACGTTGCAGGTTTCCGTGTAAGATTTGTAAGTGGAATCTTTTAACTCTTATAATATACTTGAGGGCGGCGAGTGAGAATGGACCCAAAAGTAAAACGATGATAGCCAATTGCTGTGCAAGTAGCACAGAGTGTTCGCAACAAACTGAAAAAATTTTTTAAATTTTTTCTTTCAGCTTAGTGTAGTTTTGGTGGGTGGTGTGATAAAAGGATCTAAATGGAAACCTTAAGTTTAGGAATTTTGATAATAAAGTTAAAAAAGGCATGCTGGACAAAATTTTTTGAAAGATGTCTGGAAAACACAAAAAAAGCTAAATATTTTCAAATTTTTGCAGAAGTTTTTCAATTTTTGAAGAAGTTTAAGATGGCATTGGCGCTCAAAATTTTCTTGAAGTAAATCTAAGTTTTCAGGTCTAGAATAAAATTTAAATGGCTTTTTTTTCTATTTCAAGCCTGCTTGTTTGCATTTTGCTAGAATTAATTTAGACAAAAAGCCCAAAATTTTAAAGTGGTTTTTCTAGACACGGAAAAACGTTTTGGAAATTCATCTCTGTTGTTCGAATTGCGATACTGTGTTTTCTAGTCTAATTTCGAACGAGTCAAACTAGCAAGAGAGACAAGCGAGCGAGGGAGTCAACCGAGCGAGCTATAATAAGAAAAAGCTTCTAATTGAGCTGTGAAAACTTAGTTTTACTCCAATAAAACTAGCCTCTAAAACTTCGTTTAACGCTGCCTTGGCAAGACCCCTCTTGTTGCTCTCATCGCACCACGCACAATAAACGGCAAAATTTAGATAAATGTTAGTTTTTTAATGAATTTGACCGGAAATTTTCTGTGCTACTAGCGCAGCATCCCACTACTCTTGTTTCATTTGCAGTCGTCTCCACTAAATTTCATCTGTTGATCAGGTCATAATAAATGCCAATAAATAAATGCAAGAAAGAAATCAACGATAAAAAATTGAATCCTGAAAAACGAGAACTCCAATATTTCATGAACCAAATTTGCTGCTAAATTGACAACATTGAAATTTCAACGAGATACATAAAATTTTTGGGCCGGCAGTCGAAAAAAAAACACCTGTGAAATGTTGCAAAATACTGATACCTACTGAGTTAGGACCGAAGTGTAACTCATAGAGTAATTTCGGATAGGGTACACCGTCTGCTCGTCACGCTATCTTATTTTCGGCCGGATAGATTCGTGCAACTTCTTAGTCTAATACCGATCCTAATCTTACTCTTATACTATCTAGTCTCAGGTTGTTTAACTGGTCTCTGCTAGGCTCAATAGATCTAGGGTATACTGGTTTATTGCGGCTGCTGAAGTGCTCGGGAGAGTTCAACTAATTTCTAAGTTAAATTCAAATCTCTCTGGTGCTGAAATTACAAGTAACTTCAGCACTTACAAATAAGTGGGTTGTTAGTTAGATGGATCATGATTGGTTAATATTAAATACTTTACATTGGTAAAACATTTAATTTATCCAATCATAAAATGTAGTTTAGATCAGGTTCCACCCATCCGGGTTTTACAGAGTTTTTTAGAATAGTTCTTCTGCAATTCGAAGGATGGATGATGGACGTTTGTTTTTGGCGAACATCATAATTTTCTTCCGTTTCCTCTTTTGTTAGGGAAGTTCCAGGAAGCTGGAGTTAGAGACATAAGACGTTGTGTCTTCTAGTGACAACGACTACGTCTTTGCAACAAACTCAAATCTGATTTCAGAATGGTTTGCTATGTCAGGTTTTTCTGTTCTGCGTGGAGAACTTCTTTTGTGTATGATCTAGTTTGGGAATGGCGTGGAGATTGTGCGTGGAGGGGATGCCTGGTTACTCGGATCTGTACGTATACTTGAACATCGAGGTGGTCATTGGTCTAGTTCAATGAAGTCCTTTTCTGCGAGGTCAAGTCGTACTCTAAATCCTTTGAGTTGTGATTGTGAGCGGCATATCGATTGTAGTTGGTCATTCTCTCTCGAGTGTAGTGGGGTCGTCTTGTCTTTTGATGTTCGTCCTTGGTGTTGTATTCTGATCTATATATTGCATCATGTGATTTTACATTTTATAAAACTTTTATTAGTTTAATATTTTTTAATAATGATTTTAGTTAGTTGTTTTCACAAAAGCTTTTTGTTTTAGTTCGGTTATTTTGAAGAGTTACTCACACTTGAGTAGCTCTTATTAAAAATAGTGGTGTGGTCACAAAGCGTGGATGTAGCGCGGTGGGTTAGGCCGGCTATAGAGCATGCTCAGGACGTCCTTCCTGGTGGGTTAGGCCAGGAGTGGGAGTATGATTTCATGCGGTTTTTTGTGAGGGGTCCTGTTATGTGACAACGTTTTATGTTGAGTTTGTTGTGGTCTTACTTATGTTTTGTTGGTTGTGTCCTTTTTTCAAAAATCAAATTGTTTGTGGTATGGGTTTGTCTTTCGACTTTTTTGTGTTTTATTATTTCTTTCTTAGACTTTATAATAGTCTTCAAAAGAATAAATTATCCAGTTTTAAACTGGGTTAATCCGGTTTGGGTACCGTTGGTTTCTTTTTCTAAGTCATGCTGTTATTCTATGATTTGTGGTATTTAGTAAGCTGCGTTGGTTAGTTTTGTTTAGTATATGATTCCTTTCCAACCGGGCTAAAGGAAAGTTTGAAACATGTTATTATATGTTAGAGTTGTTGAGTGTGAAAACTTGAAACTGAAATTCATTATTTTAAACAATTCTTCGTGGGCGAGCTGTGCGAGTGTGGATAGAATTTCTGTGCGAATGAATGAAAATATCAAAAGGTTAGTACTGCATTTGCATTTATTTAATTTACTACATAGAATTTAGAAATTTACTGCTAGTCATGGGGGAATATTAAGATATAAATTTTCATCATAATTAGATTTACTGCTTGTGGGGGAAAATTTTAGAAATGAATTTACTGCATTTGTATTAAATTTATAAATTTATAAGTGTAAGAGATTAATAGAATTTTTGAAATTTGTTTGATGAAATTTGCGATTTTTATTTGTCTTTTGTGGTTTTTGTAGGTGATCATCGGATGAAGGCTAAAAATCTAAAGAAAACATGAATAAAGTATGGTGAGTTTTTTTTTTTTTTTTAATTAGTTAGTAATATTCATTTAATTCATACTTACCTGTTAGTCGTCGGGGAAAAAACCGTGGGGGAAGATGTCGTGAATTAGTTCTGAAGTTGTTAGTAGTTTAGCTAAGATGCGGATGATATTTTTAGTTTGAAGCAGTGGCCAAATTAATTGAAGTGCCTTGATAGTGGTTAGTTCTTCAGTGCCAACTGCAAACTCATAAGGTGTGTTTTGGATTAAGTTATATAATTTGTGATTGAATTTAGTGTTGTGGATGAATTCTAAAATTGGGATTTCTATGGGTTGTACAAACTCGTGCGGGATAAGGAAGGGTCGGGATTCTTCGGCGTTGAAGGTCTTGGTAATGGGACAGAAGATGTACATTTGGGTTATGGGGTCATAATTACGAAGAATACCATGGAAGTTAGTGTCTTTAATACAATATGTGAAATTTAGGAAAAATGGTGAAGTGTATTTGGAATTAATGAATTGAAAACGATGGTGTGGTTGTCTAGAGGGTGTGTGTAGGTCAAAGTGATTTTGGATGAAGCGATAATAACTATATGTGTGGGTTTGTTTAGTGCGCAACATAATATCGTGTGAGCAGTGTAAATCTCTTTCGTGTGGTGCAAGGAAATGAAAGGTTAGTGAAAATATTTGGAAGCGTTCTTTGAAACTTTCGTATGCTTGTGTGTCTGTTAGTGCTTCTGAAATAATGTGATCAAACTTTCGGTCGAAGATGTTTAGTGTGAATGTATATGGTGTCTTGATGAAAAATTTCTCGGTAATTTGTGGATTAGCGAAGCGATCGTCGTCTAAGAATTGATCTTGGTTAGCTCTGATGATGTTGTGATCATAGTATTCGAGTGTATATTCGTTAGCTCTAGGTGCAGTGTGTGTTTTTAGTGATTTTTTATATCCAACGTAAGTAAATTGTCTAGGTGTTAGTGGTGTAGTGAGTCGATATAGTATGTCCGTATTTCGCTCTATATCGATGTGAGTGTTAGATAAAGGTAAGCAAAGAGGGTTAGTGAAATGATAATATGAGGTCCAAGAGAGAGTAGGCATTAAAACGTATTCATCTACGAAGTTGCGTGTTTCGTTAGTGTCGTGGGGGGTGTTTAAAGTGTATTGTGGGAATGAGGGTAAGGTGATGGCTAAAAATTCTTTTGTGTTAGTATGCTTGGGGTGGTTGATGTATTCACGGGCTGTTCCTGGTTTTGCTGGGAAAGGATGGTTGGGGAACTTTCTTTTAAAAGTGCGGTAAGCTCTATTA